GTATGGCTTGATATTGAGGTGATTTTGAAAAAAGCTGGTATAAAAAAAAGTTAGGAGCATTTTTGTGTTTGGCAAAACTTCCAACTTCAATTTTTTTTTCAGAGTTTTGGGTGAAAAAAAGCTAAAAAATAAAAGCAGCAAAAGGCAGCTTTGAAAAACTGGCTTTTCAGCTTATGCCAAAACTCTTTTCTAAGAGGCACTAAGGGCTTTAATGAAACTTTTATGTACCCAAAATGACCTTAAGCAATTAAAACTTCACACAGAAGTTCAGAGATTTACCCAGTCGTCAATTAGGAATGCATTGGTCTTTGATTAGTTGTACCGGTGATGCTTCGTTGATTTCTGGGCAGAACATACAGAGCATGCATTAGCTCTAGTCCTTCGAATTTAACCTCAAACTTCACTGATAAAGTCAAGAGAGTTACCCAAAGTTGAGATTTGGCAATTGGTGTAGATTCAGTCTCGAGTTCGCTGGAAAAATGACCAAGAAGGTCACCAGATTTCTGGGCATGAACATAGAGAGGGCATTTGGGGTTAAATTCCAAGAATTTCATGCCAAAATTCGATATGCAGGATACAAAAGTTGTACTTGAGATTAAATGAATGTTGAATTGAGTTTGAAGCACCCCAATTTCGTCGAGCCTCAGGTCAACTCGTCAAAGAGTTTTTCATCGAGAAGGAAGGGTTGGCTTTCTTCATTTTTGAGTACTTGATCTTCACATGCAACGCCACCATTCGAATCCATAGGTCAAATTACACCTAAACTAGGGAATATCGGTATGGATTTCACTCGAAAATTGACGTTGGTGTGGGTGATTCTCTCTATAAATAGAGAGAGTGAGAGTTAGAGAAAGAGTTGGAGAGAAAGAAGAGTCTTACGGAAAAAAGGAAGAACGAGAGAAGAAGACGGAGATCAAATAAAAGGAGTGGGCCCCTCAAGGCACACTAAATAAGACCAAACCCTTTTTGATTATTTCACACAGTCATAGCTATTGTACATAAAAGTTTACCAAACACTATAATATTGCTTTTTTTTTCTTCCTAAATCACTTTTACAAAAAAGTTTACCAAACACTCTGCTGCTTTATTTCACAGCTGCTTATTCTCACAGCATAGAAGAAGCAATTTTTTTTTTAAGCACAGCAATACCAAACCAGCCCTAAGCAGTAGTTTAGGGGTGTCGTGCCCCATAATCTTGCCAGTATCCTAACCGTCAGATCAGACCACAAAAAGGAACCCACATCCAACGGTCCAAAAACACCCTGTTATTTATGGAAAGAAATTAAAAATCTTTGTCAGTTTTCATTATCCACAACAATTAGCCACTCTCAGTACTATCATTAATTCCGCTCCCGTTTTCAATATCGCCACTCTTATCTCTCCCAGCTCTGAGCTCCTCCAATGGCCACCGTCCTCCGAAATCCACCTTTACGAGCACCGTTCGCACCGCTTCCCGCCACCGTTTCGCCGAACCCTCCGAAAACTTCATACGTTTCGTGCAGACAAGGCTCGATCAGCACGCCGCCGTTTCTCACTCTCGTCTCTCTACGGTCATCTCGCTCGCCGTCCGTACGGTTCCTCAATTTCGCGCCTTTAGCTTCCCGCCATGAGACCCTAAGTGCGGAGACGGCGGAGGAGCTTCGAGAGCTCAATGAGGTCGAGGTACTATTTACTTTTTTCTTAACAATTTTCAGAATTTGTTTTTTGTTTACTTGAATTGAAGTTCATTAGGTCTGCTTGTTTGATTGTTGATGAGGAATTGATTTCGCAACAATGTTTCGAACGAAAAATGCCATCAATTTTGTTGCAAAAGCTGATGTATTTGTCACTTTTGATCAAAATTTGGGAGGATTAACGGGAATTGATCACTCAAAAACTTGAAAAAAACTAGTTTTAGTTATGGCGAAATTCGAACATTGTGATTGATTGATGATCTTAAATGATGCCTAAAACTACTTTTAGTTTTAGTTGTGGCGAAATTCAAACTTTGAAGCATTGATGCTGCCCCTTCACATGAAAACAGATGTATGCAGAGGTCAGATTTTTATCTGTTAGGAAGCATTATTCACTAATATGACTATCATATTGCGTTTCAATCGTATGTCTTCTCCTTTGTGTTGTGATTCTTCTAAAAAAATCTAAGGAGATGGTAGTCTAGACTTTTTTTTTATGACAGTGGCTCTTTACAACGCCTGATTAGAAACATCTATAAGATATTTTTATGGCTTTCTTAGTCAAAATTTCGTTAACAGTTGTTTTTACTAATATGTTGTTCAATCGTGGATGAAGGCAGATACTCGGTGGAGAACTAGCAGTGGAAACTCCTGCCTCAACAGTTTTGGAGAGTAATTTCCTATTCACCACAAATATTGATCTTCACATAGACATGATACAAATTGTCAAATTTTATGGACCGCTCGAAATTTCTTCAACATGATATCATTATATACCCTAAATGTTTCATTGTGTGGATCACGAACGTTGAGTAAAACTATAAATAATTAGTGACTGCTGTCGCTGCCTATCTGTTTTCATTGTTATGGCAGTTTACATTACACAACACATGTATAATTGTGTCTTTATAAAATTATGAATTCAAGTTCTGTGCACAATACTCAATTTTTAATATTTTTATTTTCTCTGGTTTTATTTTATTTTTTTATTAAATACTTTTTACTTGGTCGTTGGGAATGATCTTTGTGATATCATCATTTTATTGCAGAAATTTGTGGGATCCTTTTGGTTACCAAGGATATTAAATTCATGAAGTGGCCATTTGCATGGGTATCTGCATTCTTAGTTGGACAAAGCTTATGGCTGATTTCTACTCCAATGGCACAATCACGTGATATTATCAAACCAAACGCGATTTATGAGACAGCGGAGTTATTTGAATTAGGAATCCAGCTATCATACTTGCTACTATTGCTAGGTTTTCTTGGGGTTGGAACTTTCTTTGTGATTCGTCAAGTGCTTGTACGTAGAGAACTTGATCTTTCTGCCAAAGAATTGCAGGTATGAGCCTGCATTTTCCATTATACACTGTTGATTAACATCGTACCTGACACTTTGCTCCAACCTTGACACTTAGTACACATCCTACCTGAATTACAAGGACCACATAAAGACATTAATTCTTTAATGTTTGCCTGCTGTAATAGACATTTGACAGAGGCTGTCAACAACTGGTTACTCAACACTATAATTTTTTTCTATCTAAATACCAGGAGCAAGTAAGAAGCGGCGATGCTGATGCGACTGAGCTTTTTGAACTTGGAGCAGTAATGCTGAGGAGGAAAATTTATCCAGCTGCTATTAAGTACTTGGTTCAGGCAATTGAGAAATGGGATGGGGACGACCAAGATCTTGCTCAGGTATGATGAATTCTCAGATATATTTGCACTTCTATTGTCTAAGGCACATCATACTGAATCCAACAAATAGATGGCTTTAGAATTGTGTTATAAAAATAGTTGTGACTATTTGATTGTTATATTCCAATTTAAACATTTTTGGCATTGGAAATCCTTGCTACTTGGTTCCATTGTACGTGTTAATCCCTTTGAAATACCGGAAACTTGTAGTTGTGGATCATACGTACTCAGAATTGCATGCCTTGAAAGGGCACTAATTGGCATTCTGAGTCATGCATTTTCAGTGTTGTTGTATGTGTTGGTGAATGTTAAGGGTGTTGCCACATCCCGACTTACGCATGATTTTGTAGTCTATGTAGCCTTGACATGGTTTTGAAATTTAATCTGTATCCACCTTGTCTAAAAGGTAACCACATATAAATAGCTGGGGAAACGAGAATGAAAATTAAGACCATTTGAATCGTATATATATATATATATTTTATTTTTTTTTGGCATCATCTTTTCGTGCTTGGCTTATGAATTTCTGATGTGGCTTTTGACTTTTTATATATTTGAATAGGTTTACAATGCCCTTGGTGTCAGTTACGTCCGTGAGGGTAAACTTGCTAAGGGAATTACGCAGTTTGAAACTGCCGTGAAGCTTCAGCCAGGCTACGTCACAGCTTGGAACAACCTAGGTGATGCCTATGAAAAGAGGAAAGACTTTAAGGCTGCACTGAAGGCATTTGAGGAAGTACTTCTGTTTGATCCAAATAACAAGGTAGCAATACCACGGCGGGAAACTTTGATGGAACAAGTGAAAATGTACAGAGATGTTCCGGTAAAAACAAAGGAGAAGTCATCTGACAGTATGCGTTGACAGGGATTTTATCAGCCACAGCTTATGTAAGTTTTGCTTGCCTGACTTCTGTAGTCACATTTTGTATTGTCTAGCATCTAAGTCTGTAATTTGATTCCGGAAACTTGATTCGTAAGTAGGCGAGTAACGTTCTTTGTATTGTAAGTGTTACAAATATATTTTACACAAACGGTTGTGCAGTTCATAACATCGTGTTTACTTATTAGCTAAATAAATTCGATGAGGATTACGGAATGTTCAAGTCCTAAAGCTACCTATCTCGATGTTGCATTTTTCTGTTTGAGACTCAAGTATTTGCATTTTCGTTAGCAAAATATTGAGGCAAATTCCATTCATGTTTGGAGATAAAAGAGTCGCAACCTTTGAAGATTCAACAAAGACCCTTATTTCTATGTAAATAAAATTTAGAAATTTAAACCCTCTATTTTTCTCACTTTTTACATCATACTCAAGTGACCAAGGAACGACAAATGGAATGGTAGTCTCAAAAGTCAAAACAAAGACATGGTTCGTTTGGAATTGCTTTTTAAATGACTGAAAGTATTTTTAGAGAAAATGTTTTTGAGTTCTAAAAGCACTTGAAGTTCATTTCCAGGATTTACTTGCATTTTTACAATTGATTGGTTCCAAAAGCATTTTTATCAAAAGCGCTTTCAGTCATTTTAAAAGCACTTTCAAGCAAACTCTCAAGTTTTTTAATTACAAATGATATTATTATACTAAACTACACTAAAGAAAGGGAAGCGTTTGAACCCAAAACGCAGTTGGCTAAAGAAGACGACGCTATCAACCATAGTGATCAACCACTTGAAGAATCAGTCGTATTCACAGGCCAAGAGATGTTGTGTGGTTGCATTAAGGGTGGGAAGCTTGACCTTTAGTGGCTCACCCCCATAAGAGGTGTGAGGGGAGAAGACAATATTGTACATAAATCGATTAGAATTAGGGTCCCTTTGGAGGGTATATAGTAGCTGACCTGCACCATACCGGCCTAGAAGTTGGTATGATCTCTCTGATTGATCCATTGTAACACAAACTTCATCCGTACCTAACCAAATCAAAATAAGTAAAAGTTATGTAAAAATACTTTTCTTAAAGATGATCTTCAAATGATGATTAAAATCTTTATGTTGATTGATGAGTTGTTGATCTGATTGATATGTATGAATGACTTAAACGTTCTCAAGTTGGTTGATTTTTGCAAAGAGGATCATTAAATGACAATTGAGATTTGGGTAGTACTATTCGCACACCCCATCTTAGCTTTCACACACCCTTGTTAAATTTTTGTCCATTGATCTTCTTCAATTCATTCGATCTGACGGTCGGAAATTGAGAAGGGTGTGTGAGAGGTAAAAATGGGTGTGTAGATAGCATCACCCTTGAGATTTTCATGTTGATTAATGAACTATTCATCTGTTTGATACATACAAATGAAACAATCAATTTGGTTGTGTTTTTTTTCAAAGATAATTAGTAAATGATAGGTAAAGAAATGAACAGTTCTGATTATGACATTTATAGGATGAAAATAGGTTAATAACAACTAGATGGACTAGGCGGTGCATGGACCAAAATAATCATTTTTTTTTCTTAATTTACTAGGTGGGTTTGGGGTTGCTTAATTTTGTTTAAATAGCTTTTTTGAGAAAAAGTTGGGCTTAAAATTATGTTTGGTAAGTGAGAAAATTTTTTTTCTTTTCAAAATCATGGATGTAAAACATTGCAGCTCTAAGAATGCTTATCAAAAAAGTGTTTTTATTTTTATTTTTATAGAAGGTTGATGAATGATATCAACTAATGAAACTTTCATATTGACAATCCTACTCCCATCTTTTTTTTTTTTTTTAGCTAAAAGCACTTTTCACATCACAGTTTACCGTTACCTGCTTCTTTCCACATGTTTGTTCTCACAGCACAACAAAAAAAATTTGAAAAAAAAAAACACAGCACTTCCAAACTAGCTCACCATGTAAAATTAAATAAATTAAATTGGATTTGATATGAATAATTGGGAGAAGAAAGCAACTCACAGGCAGCTAACTCTATCTGCGTTTGGTAAATAAAATCCAGGGCTGCAGAGATTTCTTGCTCAAACTCATGAAATGGTGATCCACTTTTAAAATTCATCTTTCTTAGCTTACAAAGTCCTTCTCCCAACTCCATCATCGCTCCTTTATGGTTCTATTTCATCACAACAAAACCCGAGTGTAACTAATCAATTTGTAAGTATATATATATAGAGGATTGACTTGACGATATGATATGATAACTCTCTAAATTCAACGCATATTGAAAAAATAAATGGGAGTTTTAAATTTTGTAATATGTAGGATGAACCTGAACAAAAAGTTAGCGCAATATTAACTTACTAACTGTTTAGCGATATATAAAAACACAACAGTAGGCACACTCAATCAGTTGTGAGAATTATCAACCTGATTGAATAGGTGATGGAATCCCACTGCGCATTGTAGAATGCCATGAATAAGAGTTCTGGACGGTTCTTCGGCATTGTTCCAAAGCGATTCGAGAAAGTCATGGCACTTGTAGTATTCCCTTGTGTTGAACAGCACAACTGCTTCATCAAAGCTACACTCCTCTTCGTCCTCCTCCTCCTCACCTTCACCGGCACCGGAAAATCTATATGAAACCCCGAAACAACAGTAGTACCGGCTGCTGGTGGGTACTAGGATTGATCTTGTGTTGCTGCATGGGGAGGGAGAAGAGAAGCTGCAGGTGATAGTTATTGGATTGGTTTGGGAAGGGAAGAGATGAGAGTGTCGAATCGGACGGCTTGAGATTGACGAGGGAGATAAAACAGTGGGAGTGGCAGCAGATGGTAACGCCATGGATGGATTATAACTTCTGGAGAAGGTTTTTCAGAGGTCTAAGACTTTACAACCATATTTTTTGGCCACATTTGTGTGGTGGAGGCTCGGAGTAAACCACCCAAATACAGGACAAAACTGTCACTCCTTTCTTTTTTTAGTCTATTTGTTTTGATATAAAAAAAAAAAAATTGAAATGGTAAATTCATAGAAAACAATTCAGGCCTGATTATCGGACAGATCGGATAGGAAGCAAGGGTTCTAATTTCAATCTAAAATTTTACGAAATAGAAAATGTCTTATAGGGGTTAAGTACATATAATTATCTAACTTTTACTGTTATTAAGTAATGACTTTATAAACATTAAGTGACAATATTTCTAGCGTTAAATAATGACATAGACAAATACTAAAGTTGGTATTTACTAATCGTCATTTTTTGAGCACTTATTCCTCAAATTGACTCGTTTTAGTCTAATCAAGCCGTAAATTTATTTAGATGAACTACGTTGATTTGGAGATTCAAAGCTCCATAGATGACTTAAGAGTAAAAACTTGCTTTAATAGTTGTCCACATCATCATTTAACACTAGTAGAACAACAACAAAGCCTTATCCTATAAATTAGAGTCAACTATATGAATCATAAAATGTCATTGCGCTTGGTTTTATGACATGTCTTCCATTAGATCCAAGTAGTCCAAGTCTTTTCTTAGAGTCTCTTTTGAAGTCTTCCTAGGTTTTCCTCTACCCCTTTAGCCCTGAGCCTCTGTTTCGTAATCACATCTTCTAATCGGAGCGTCTGTAGGTCTTCCTTTCACATGTCAAAATTGCCTTAATCAATTTTCTCTCATCTTATCTTCAATTTTGACTACTTTTAATTTACCTCGGATATCCTTGTTCCTAATTTTGTCCTTTCTCTTGTGTCACACATCCAACGAAGCATTCTCATCTTCGCTACAATCACTTTGTGTACGTGTTGATACTTCACCGTTTGTGTATGTGTTGATACTTCACCGCCCAACATTCCGTGCCATAAAGCATTGCTCGCCTTATTGTCATCCTATAAAATTTTCCCTTGAGCTTTTAGTGGCATACGACAGTCGCACAACACACCCGATGCACTATTCACTTCATCCATCCCGTTTGTATTATATAATTGAGGTCTCCATCCAATTATCCGTCATTTAACAATAGTAAACCTAACATATTTTGGACCAAACGTATTTCAATTTTTTTTTAAATATATTTCAATTTCGTTCTAATTCTTTTTAAATTTTGGGCATTGGATTCGATTCAGGTGTTACAAATTCGAAAAATATTGGATTGGAAAGTCAAAATCAAAATTTTCAATTCAAGTTGCACCATAGACGATTTTTTTAGTGCTTTCAAACTGAAAAATAGCATATGGTGCTCCAATTTGACGGTAATGTGAGATTCAAACCATTAAATGTATGTAAATTTGACCACCAACTTTTATTTCTTAACACACTCTCGTCTTTTCATGCAAATTGGAAAAACAGACCATAGTCCCTCTCTTAGTTTGGCCCAAAAAAACCCAGAAAAATCATACAAATTGGCAAGAAATGCAAACCTTTTCACTGGTACGATCATCTAAACGATCATTTTGCCAGTCGTTGCTACGAAACGAAATAACGGGACTACAACAAGCGAAGAACGTATTGATTTCGGAAGGGTAGAACTAAATTTATCCAATTTAATTTCCTAATATTAGAACAAATGAAGATATTTTGACAACGATGCTTCGTGTAGTTTATCAAGAATGTAATTGATAATTCTAGTCCTGTGTGGTGTTAAGAGTCAGAAATGCTGCAGAGCCACAGAGTGTGTTAATTCCGCTTTCTTACCAGAAGTTACTTGGTGATGGTATCCTGCTTACCCCCTTCCCCTCGCGAGAAATTGAATGGGAGAATCGTCTAGACTTGTGTAACTTCATTCTTATAGCCGGAACCCTGCGAGCAACTGCTTGCCATATCATCTGGACAGCATCGCCCTCCTTTGATGGGAACTGAAACTCATAAAATTTCTGAACCTCCTGCAACCTCTTCCACATTCGCGTCCACTCGTCCCTCCCTATGTTCCTGGTGAGGTTTACGAGAAAATTCTTCTTAAGAGCATCCCTTGTTCGAACAAATATGCAGAACTCAGAGTAGTCAAGCACATCCTCGTATGGGAGTTCGATCTCATCACTGATGATGACAGGGACGCAGTGGCTAGCAATAGCGTCAAAGAGGCGATTTGATGATGGGGTGTCACCGGCTATGTTGAGGCAGAATTTGGAGGTGTGCATCCCCTGGGAAGCCTTGTTAACTCCATCTTTTTTAACACTCCCAAATGTAAAATGTACATCTTTTTCGCCTTGTAGAAGATAGAATAACTCTTGCCGAACAAAGCCACCCTGAAAATGTAGAACCAGAAAGTCAAGAGCCATGAATTTAGGAATGAACAAACAGCCTAGATCAAAACAGAAAATCAAAGACAGAGAAGGAAACAAGGCAAAAGCTGACAAGATAAACAGAATCAATGAACCAAATAAAGGTAGAGGTGAAAGATCATGTTTTGATTGGTCAACACTCAGAAGAAAGAACATGTCAGATTCGCAAATTAATTTGTCGGTATTACTTTGCCCTCTAACCAACAAAGGTACATGTTCTTTCTTCTGTGCACAAGTGTGTCCCATAGCAAACCTTAACCGGTAGAAATTAGGGATCCACTGAGGAACACCCAGCCTAACAATATGCAAAAAAAAACAGAAAAGGAAGAAAACCGCAGAAGCAAATTGTGAGCTGAAATTAACAATAGAAGATGAATATCGGCAAATCTTTACCAAGTATTGTTTCAAATTTCATAACGAAATGAAAATCATACTGAGAAAGAATACTAACTGACACAAGGGGCTAAATTTCATGTATAATTCTCCCATTACAGTAATTTGGAAGTGATGCAGAACATAGATGTCTGTATTTCTCTAAGATAACAAAATTTCAAACATTTTAAACAAACAAAACCACAAAGAACTCTCCTTTTCACAACTCACCATCTCAAAATACGATGAAGTTACGAACTTTGAAAAATCAAACACATTTTCATGTGCCGAATAAAAGACAAACATAGTTGTCAGGAATTTTATAGAGAAACTTCCCAAGAAAGGAAGCTTAAAAGAATGAGCAAACTATTTAAAATAAGAAAACGTTCAGACGTTTTACGTTGCATTCTGCATCAATGCACCTCCTTTTCCATAGCAAACTATATAAACAAGTTCACATGTAAATCTCAAATCTTGAATCACCTCCGCTGTGTATGCCCTATCTAGGGCCCAAGTACAAAGTAAAAATACGGAATTTATACGCAAATCTATCAACTAATATTGATTTCTTGACCACTGCAACACAAGCAGATATAGAACTAGATATTATTGATTTTACATCGAAAAAGCATGTATGTAAAAGGAAATTCCTTTAGAGAGTATCTAGATTTAACCGTGATCTGTTCAGATTTGATAGTCAGCATTAACACAATTGTGAGGCACAGAAAAGGAAATAAAGAAGAAAAAAACATTAGCTAAAGGAGAGAGAATACGTACATCTTTTCGATATATTGCACCTTGGAAGTACAGCAAGGTTGGCCGACTATCAAAAGTAGAGGAGTCATTCACATAGGATTTGATTACATGCTTGTAGGGGGCAATGACATCTTTCTCCACATTTGCTAAGTTTGGAGGATACCTCCCAAAGTCCGAAAGTATGAATGTTGCAGGCCATAGCTTCATCCTCGCGTCTAAAAGGCTATTTGGATGGTGAGCCACAATTAAGTGGTCTCTTCCCCCTGATCTCTTCCATTCCTTTTGAGCCGTCACATACTTAACCAATTTATCTTGCAGAACCTTATTTTTGCTCTTCTTCTCGTGCGGGTTTATCTTGGAGAATCGGTTATAGCTTAAGGAAGAAAAGAACGGTATAAAAACAATGTCAGCTTCGCTAGCATTGCGCACTCTTATTGCAGCACGAGCATTTGGGGGGTTGGGAAGTTCAGAAGCAAGGAGATCCAATGTCAGCCAGTATTCTATGCTGTGTTGCAGATTCAACGCGCCGGGATAAGCAGGTATTTTAGTTTGAAGATCTGGCCAAACGCTACTGCTTTCGGGTTTCCAATTCAAGAGTCCGAAATGAAATTCGGGGGGTAAATCATACATGAACACCTTGAGAAGAACTACCTTCTCATTGGTGTTACATTTTACTCCATTGTTAGCTTGGGACGCTTCTTTTTCTTGGGAAAAAGATGATGGCTTTTCTTCTTCCTCATTGTCCACAAGGATTGCTCGATTCCCAAATGAGGGTTCGACATCCTTTTGATTCTCACTTCCACCAGAACTCCCGCTGTCAATCACGGCATTAAGTTTGGAATTGGGTAACAGTTTATGGTCAATGAAGCGAGGCATGCTCGTCGAACGCAACACAAAGAACCAAGAAAATATGAAGAGTGTTGATGTAACTATAAATAAGAAGAACAAAGATTTCCGAGCAATGACAGCGAGGGAAGAAGCATTCCTTTCGGCCATTGTCATTCCAATCCCAAAGGATTCAATGAATCAAGAAATTCAATGCTCGAAAAATCGAAAACCATGAAAACTAGAGAGAATTACAACGACACCGCGGCATTAAGCCGAAAGAATCTAACAATGATCGGAACAGATTTCCATCACAAAAATGCAGAAACTTTCGACACTCAGAAGAGAGAAGAAACTCTAAAATTGGTAATCCAAAGAAAGATACAGATTGAAGATAGTGAAACTAACCCATGAAAACAGATCTCATTACGCTCTCATACCATTGTTTTCTCTCCCCATTTCGCTACACTGACTACCTTGGAAGAACAAGAAAAATATAGAGAGAGAATCAGCTCAGAAAAAGAAAACCCAGATGAGAAAATAGAGAAAACCCAGATGAAATCCAACCAAATCTGATCAAACCCACCAAAAGAAAGCAACCCAAAACCCAGCTGAAGCAGAAGAACAGAAAACAGACAGAAATTCAATGTGGGTGTGTTGATTTGGTGAGCAAGAAAATGGTGAGGATTTCGTGCCGTGGAGCATAACCAATTGCTACGGTTGGTGTGTTTGTTGAAAAATTTGCGAGCTGAGAAATGGAGATTTTCTCTCAGAAGCAAAGGAGTAGGAGGAAGGAAGCGTTGGAATAGGGGGTCATCTGTTGAAGCGGGCTCGTCTGTTGTCGGAATTTCAATGGACTTTCCATAATTTCTATTTATTTATTTATTTTTGTATTTATTAATTTTATTTTATAAAACTATTGTTGTTGCTACTTAAGTTTAACTCAACCATGATTATGCTAATTATGGTAAACAAACAAATAATCTATTTTTCAAGGCACGTTATTTTGGTTCTCCTTTCGACTCTTCTATGTTTGATATTTTAGTTCGAGAAAGACTTTATTTTCAGCATAGTTTTTCTTTTCAATACAGCACATAGATAAACAAAACAAACTTATTGACGTGACTCAAAATAATAGTAGTGTCACATTATGAATGATTATACCGTCAAAGTTAAGCTTAATGGAGGATAAGTTTTGTTTAAAAGTTGAAAATAAAATAAAAACAAAAAGAGATTCTCTAAAATTGGGATGTTGCTTTGTTGTACTATCTTGTTTGTTAAAATCAGAAATTCTTTATAAATATGCCTTAAATCACATTGATCAAACCGAAAAATGCAGCCATGTCAAGTACCAAACCATCAACCACCATATTCCTTTCCTTATCTTTTTGTTTTGATATAAACCAAAATAATTTATAGTTACTAGTTTTTGTTATGATTTTTATTTTTATTTTGTCTAGGCATGGAGAGACTTTGTCAAAGTGATAATGTTGTCTCTCACCTTCCTTGCCACAAATAATATGATGATAAAACTTGCTTTGCTTGCCTTTGAGCCTAGGAGAGGTGGACAAGAATCAACATCTTAATAAATGAGAAAACATCATTATTAACAGTATGATCTAGTGGTATTCTTCTTTATGTATAGCATTATAAGAGGCCGGTATGATTCAACTGACGTGAATGACAAGTTCAAAACCTAATTATGACTGACTTATTGTGTAATTTAACCACTGACGTTGTACCTTTACATTGCATCACGAGCTCAGGGTGTAAATTGATTAGCATAGTATCGTGGTTAGAAGGCCAAACTTCATTGGAACTAGGTTTAAAAACTTGGAAGGCCAAATGTGAAAAATTGTTACTTGTAGTTTACTCAAAAATTGTTAATGGTTTTCATCAATTCGTATAACTAGGCGTTCTAAGGCTTCTTAATCTTGCATTCTTCCAACTTATTGAGATTGGAAGCAAAAGAATTGTAATACTCTTGCACGTCAAGCTCGCGTCGACACTAAGTTGTACAAACCGATGAAAATTGAACATTCGACCGCAGTTTATTTCTGATACCAATTTTATTTAGATTGGTATCAGAAGTAAATGACGAGGGTAAAATTGACAATTGAAACCAAAATAACAATTACCGCAAACCACAGTGACCCCATTTATGAATTTTAGCAAAAATTAAAGCAGTTCCGAGAAGATTTGGAGTTGTTAGGTAGTCTTTCCAGGTGTATTCAATCGAGATTTTTAAGGATTTTAAAAAAGATTAAAGCAGGGTGCTTAGAGTTGTTTATAATTTGTAGTAAAGTGAATTTATTCCCAGGATTAATCCAAAATTCCGATCCCAAACCATCAGAAACAAGATCCAACATCCGTTCTTGAACCTAAGAAATCCACTTAACAAGTACATTTGCCGTGTAAAAAGTTCCATTCCACTTTAAAGCAAAGAATGTGCTAAATTCACTTGTTCCAACGACTGGAACTCCTTTGCTCAACCCGCGAAAGCTCTGATTACATCGTTTGTAGAAGACCATACGGAAGGATCAGAACTGGAACTGCATCTCCGGTGCATATCCGAGTGCTTCAAGGTGAGCAGCCATGGCCTTGTTCATCGGGGGTGGACCACATCTCAGAATCTGCAGATTTCAAGAACAAAGTCAGCACTTCGCTTATAACAGTATGCTAGCGACTTTTCATATCCAACAATGCAGCAATGGAAACGCGTGTTTGCAAGCTTTTGAATTCACTTGCCTGAATATCATGCGCTGGGGCAGGCAAGTGCTCTTGAATCATTTCCTTTGAGACAAAGCCAACACCACCATCCCATACTTCCGGAGGCTGAAAAGTAACAGTTTACAGAGGCAGAAAAAAAAATAATGGTCGTCAGTCATGGCATATAACATAAGGATTAGGAGTCCACACAAACAAAAAGAGACGGAATATCATATCATTCACATTAACGAAACAATAGTGCAGAAGCAGAAGATGGTAACTTCATGCTCCATGAGGAGACCTTTGTAGTAGTATTTGGGTGGATTATCTAATTCTATTATTATAAATCTCAAACCAGTAAAAGTTGGAATATCGTTCACATTAATGCTGAAGACCATCCTTCTCAAAACACACATAACAGTAAAAATCAAAACGGAATTCATGGCATTTTAATTTACTTTGGCTTGATATAGCGCTCTGGTAGCAAACTAAAAGATACTAAGTTTTTTCAAAAACACCAGGAGAAAGCAAAGGGAAGAAAAATAGTTCGAAAATATATTGCATGAGAAAGGCACTAACCTGATTCAAGACGTAGTAAATATTGAAGCGATCAGGGTAGTTACTAGCAAGGCCATCCAACTCTTCCTGCAAACAAATAGAAGGAATTTGATCCAATTACATAACTGCAATTCGCAAATACTACAATTCCAACTTCTCAGTTCAATGTCAGGGCCGGAAACAAATAACATCTTTCTAGACTATATACAGACCGAGCATGTAATTCGCTACTTATTCAACAAGGGCAGGTTATCTAAGTGGGAATTGCATAGTCAACTAAGAACTATCAAATTAAAGTGCATTAGTAGACCCATCCTGCTAGCATTTTATAAAGACCCAATATGTTGGTTCCTTAGTGAAAGAATGGGCCAAACCAGTGGTAGTATAAGTTATCAAATAAACATAACAAGTAGACAATGCAAAGATAATATGAAACATGATACAACGGGGAATGCAGGATACCTTTACAAGAATGTCTTCATATGTCACATTGGCATAGATCAAGTGCACCTTCGTTTTGTCTTTTGGGTTTTCTAATATTGCCCTTGCAACCTACAGTGGATGCAGAGAAGATGAAAATATTCTCCAAAATGAGAGCAATGAAAGAACATATTGTACTCTTTTGTGGTAATAAATACATACCTGGAACATTGGAGTGATTCCAGACCCTCCAGCAAGCATCCCAAATGCTCTAACTTGGCCAGGTTGATACTTGAAACGCCCCTGGTAACAATAAAATTCCAGGGATCAACTTGGTGGGAAAAAAAATTAATAGTGCATGTAGGAAATATATGATTTAAGTGCCAAAAACATTTGAATAGCAAAAAAAATGTGTACCTTCGGTCCCTTGACAGCAAGATGATCTCCAACGCGCATCTCCCGGAAATGATGTGACATTCTTCCTTGAGGATACATCTGATGCAAATAAATGTCCAATACATGATACCTTTTTTAAAATAACTTCATGTATAATTTTCTCTATTTCCATGTTTCAATAAAGTGAAGGTACAAGTGAATCTCCCTACAACTGTTGATAGATAATTACCTTTATAACCAATTCAAAATATCCAACATCAGAATCCAAGGTAGTTGGGGTATATGGTTTGATAATCTCTTCTCCTTGCCCATCCTTGCCCCTATTCGACAAAGTATATCACATAAGAAGCTACAACGATACAATCAAGACAAAAATCATCCAAACTTCCTCTTTATATATTAGAATTTCCAACAAACATTTAGTGAATCAACCATCATTTATCAAATTATCAACAGCTAAAAAACTCAGAAAAGGATGACCATTTAGTAAACAAAGTAAACCAAAAAAGCCAATCCGAATCAATCGTACCTGCAACTTATGTGCTGTCCAATTGGAAGGCCTAAAACTGCAGTAGGTGTTGGAAGTTCAAATTTAAACTTTGCCACATTGTGGCTCAGCTGTGTGCGCTTGACAAGTTTGAAGTCCTTGAAATTCTCCGGATCTAAGCAAACTATAAAGATACACCACGATGTGAGGCATTTTTACAGATTCTATTGGGTCAATTTTTAGCATAAACCACACAGACAATGAGTCCACCCAGTTTTGTATACCTTACTTTGTTAACACACAAAGTACTGAAGGAAACTTGAATAGCTGAAATTTGACTACCGAGAAGGAAAAAACAAAACAAAACAATTCAAAAACCGAACCCAAATCTGTCTCGAATCAATATTCAAAGCTGAATTAGAAGGACTAGAAGCAAAATGGTCAAATCCAGGATTTCTTCAAACAAAACAAAACAGAAATTAAAGATAAAACATTTTCAAACTCTTCAAACAGATATTTTCGATGTTTGATTTGTATATGAACAAAAGGATGAAGAAAGGGAAAAAGAAGAATTTGAAGATTAAGGCTTTGGTCCACCATTGTCTTCCAGAAAAAAGTGATCCTCTTACCTTATAAACCATGCTACTGGATAACATAAATCTCTGCTCTCCAAGTATGTTACCATGCAAGGAACAGAGAACCCTTTTCCTTAAAACTAAGCATCAAACTTTTTTCGATACAACAATATTCTACTCTAGGCGGAAATTTTGTCTAAGCCACACAGGATGAGCATGTAGCAATAATTAGGTATCGAACTTGTCATTTATGTGAGTCGAACTTTAAACCACCACTTAAGCGGGGAGAAATACCACTAAACTGTAGTGCTAGTGACAGTGGCAACGTCAAGCATCAATCTTAATCGAAATATGATTACCCAATTGATCATTAAAACTAAAACAAATATCACAAAAGAGGACATCACAAAACACCAAACTTTTTCTACTCCCCCAAATCCAATCCAGATAAAAATCACAGAAAAAGCATACATATTCATAACCCAACGTCAACACTCGAATGATCAACCATAACTATGATCAAAACCATGTAAACCCATCACTGATTGAAAGTTGAAACCAACTAATCACAAAAAAATTGAAAGAAAACAAAAAAAGGGCAATTAAAAAAAAAGTTCAAACCTTTGGGCTTCTTGGAGGAGAAGAGATAAGCAGCAGCCGCAATAACAACAACAGCCACAGCCGCACCCACAAGGATCTGGGGATCCAGTGACTCTAAGAAATCCATATTCTTCGTGGGTTCTGGGCAAAAAAAAAAGACCTTGCTTCTTGGTTTTATCAGAAGATATCAATCAAGAAATGGGAATGGTGGGAAAATGGGTAGCAGAGAGTGTGGGTAGGTGGACGATTTGCCTATCTATATAAATTGGAGTGGGTGTCTGTCGCTGACTAGCTGATAAGGTAGGTGAAATCGTTGATGGTGGGCTGATGGATCTCTTCTTGGTATACCAAACGATGCTGACTCCCAGACGCCGGGCGCCCATGGAAACCATTCTTAAAACCTACATTTCTTAAAAAACAAATAATGGCATAGTGGTCATTTAGTACTACGGATATGATAGTATTCTTCTTAGTAAGTGAGATAATTTAGGTTTAAATCTCGTTAATTTAGGTTTAAATCTCGTTAATGATGAATTCGATACCAAATTAGGTTGCCCATTGTGTGGCTTAGCCGAACTTCCCGCTCCTCTTAGTGTAAAATATATTTTTGAATTAAAAAAAAGGCCTAGTAGTATTATCTTTATTTGTAAATGAAATGTTTTAGATTTGATTTTCGCCAAAGGTGAATTTTACGGCCTAATGATATTCTCTTTGTTTGTAAATGAAAGATCTTAACTTCGATTCTCACTAAAAATAAATTTGAATCACATTATTGCCACTCCATTGTGAGGCTAAGTCCACCTCTTCTTCATAATGTAGATAATATCGTTTGTTTATAATAAAAGAAATATTATTTCTCAAATTAACATTTCTCGTTGTCTTTTCCTAGTGAAATTTTGCCTTGTTTTTTATGTAGCATTACGCGTAGTGGTATTTTTCTTCGTTATGTTTGAAAATCTTTGATTTAAATGAATGGCGTCATTAAATTTCACTATTTAAATTTTGTATTACGGGATGCGGAAAATACTAACAAAACAGAAAGTACTGATAGTGACATTCAAAATAAAGTAAAGTTGGTGGGTCATTCCTACAAATATGAATAAGGATCCTCTCCGAATCTTCTTTACAAGGATTTCGAGAATGTTTAAATCATGTTTGTTCATCAGACATTTTGCGATTAATTTTCGTCAGATATTATTTATGTTTAATTTTAAATAAAATAATTTAAAATAATTTTTAACCGTACGTGTACGATGAACCAACATAATTTGAAAATCTTTAACTTCCTCACAAAAAGAATCGGGAGAAGATGTACAACAAAATCAACTACCCTCACCAGGTGACATTCACGAAAAGGTTAAACAGACAAAAGAGTAACCTAATCCGCTCCAAGACCATGCCCGGATTCAAACCCGCTCCAAGCCCATACCCGGATTCCGCGCACACGCAAAGCCATATGGGTCCTCTTCTTCTCGATGCAACTGCAAAAGCATTCGCTCCAGTTCCGATTTCATTTCACTCTGTCACCCTCTCACTAAACCAGGCGAGGTTAGCTTCTCTCTCCTCTCTCTCTCTCTCTCTCTCTCTCTCTCTCTCTCTCTCTCTCTCTCTCTGATTCAGTGGTTCTTCGTCGTTAGCTGATTGAGCTGTTTATCATTCTCCCAATTATTATTTTGTTTGGTTTATAATGAAAGTCGTAATTTTGTCTGAATTGTGCCTTCAATAGTCTTGATTTTTAGGGTTTATCAAGAAAATTATTCCCAATTTAGAATTTAATTTGATTGTGGCATCCTTAAGTTATTTATTTATTTATTTATTTTTCTAGTTTTTTGAGTTGGGTTAATTTTAGATTGCCAGGTTAATCGGTGCATTCAATTCTACATTGTTATCATGGAAATTTTGGTATTGAAGTTTGTAGTTTTGTTGTAATTTTCTGCTTTTCCAAGCCTCATTGTTAGTTTTTGTCCAGAATTGATATTATGTTGTAGAATGAGAATAATATTACCAACCCAAATTCATTGGAGAAATAGTTAAACTGAGCACTTGAATTGGGAAACGTCCGGAAAGATTATTGTTTGAAAGAGGGCTGCTTTGAGGTTGGTGAACTCGCGGGCGACTGGTGGTGGTTGTGCCGGCATAGCTATAATAAAGGTTGAAGAAGCTATGCCAGCATAACCACCACCAGTCGCTGGCGAGTTCATCAACCTCAAAATGGCGCTCCTTGAATTTAGTGGTCGTCATCCTTGCCACTGGTAGTGGCTGTGCAGCGACATTTTTCATAATCTTCATCTCTCTCTCTTGCTGAAACACCATGGCTGGCCCCCATCCACCAAATCAAAGGTAACCTGTAGGTAGATTAGGGGCTGATCCCCAGAGGGACTGGGGTGATCCTGGGACCACCCGAGGTGTGGAAAAAAGGCCTATGGAGGTCCTTTGAGAATCGTTCTTTGCCTAGGGCTGTATAGGCTACAAATTGAGAAGGGTGGTGCAAAGAAACAAGGTGTCCAGAGACGATTATAAACATAATTTTCCGTGTGCAAAAAGAAAGAATAGCCCAACAATAATAATGGACCACGACAGATACAATGCTAATAAGCCAAAACCAATGGGTTCAATTTGACCAAAAAAAAAAAAAAAAAAAAAGAATGGGATCCTGAGACAACCTTGTCCTGACCACCACTCTCCCTCTTCTTCTGCTTCAGATCTCTCATATTCTCCAACCACAGCACACAGTCGAATCGACCCAACAATTAAAGCAGATTACTTTTGGCAGAAGCAGCTTATTTCAAAAAGCAGCAAATGAAGCAGAAGAAGAACAAAGAGATGGCCGCTAAACCCTCCTCGAAAGCAATATCCAAGGCGGAGGCACTGGTGGTCCACTTGATTTCTGGCTTCGGATTGGCGGTAGCTTTCTGGGTGGCCCACAATGTCCACTCCATCAGCCTCACCTCCCATCCTTCTCTTACTCTCCGTTTGATCTGGGTGGGTACCTTCTTCTATACTCTGACTTTTCGATTTAATCTCGAAAATATTGATTTTTTTTTTCTTTCAATTCTTTATGATTATATTGTTCTTCTGTTTTATTTGTTCTGGGATTTTGTTTTTCTCTTGAAGGTTTTCGAATGCCCAGCTGTGATTCTTCTTTACAGCCGGTATAGGAAGGACCATGAACGATGCTCTGTAAGTTGTTATGCTTTTGTTATTCTATTTGGTAGCTGAGAAACGGATGTGAAATGTGGGGAAGCATAGGAAAATGAGATGTCTTCTGTTTCCTCAGCAACCCAACAAGCCTTCCATGAATTTATTTCTTTCCTTTTGACTTTTGGTCTGTTGTAGTTTCTCTTATAGTCTTCGATGTGATTTTACAGTACTTCAAAGCGGTAGGGCGTGGCCTGCTAGGACTTCCTGCTGGTTAGTCCGTAATCCAACTTTTCACTTGTGCTCTGGTGTATATTTTTCACTGATTCTGCTCTGTTCTAAAAGCATTGTCGTATATAACGTTTAAATACGCTAGCTATTTGGTTCTAATGGATTCAGATTAAATTCTGACAAAAGAAATGCAAGTTCATTGCTGCGACTAGTGATCTCTAGTCCTGCTTCAGTCACCCAAGAAGCTCCATTTCAGGAATTTTCATTATTATGTTGCACAAAAATGGCCACCACTCTGTTTTAATTATTCTAGGGTTTAGTTTAAACTGTTTAACTAATTTGTGATACTATTCATCAAGAAACTATAACAATTAATTATGTCTTACCCGTTCTGTAGGGGCTCTGATAAATGCTTTAGGAGCAATAGTGTTGGGCGCACCTGCTGGCATCCAGTATGTGAACTAAGTGCTCAATAGCCAATTTCATTAATTACCGTAATTCTGAAACTAGAAGTCACAAGTTGAGGTTGGAAGGGGATAGATTTGCACCCTTTCTTCCTATGAACAAAACTAGAATTCCGTCACTTCATCATTGTATAAGGTACACTATCCACCTTCCTTTTTGGAACTCAAATCACTTCTTTGCATGTGCTCTTTTTTTTTGGTTGACAAAAGAATGTCAAACTAGTCATGGTGGATAGGTTTATGTTTGACTTCTCGAGGATTTGGTAACTATTCAACCTCAACTGTGGATTCATGTTTTTCAGAATTACTGAAATAGATGTGTTATTAACTGTTCCAATGATCTGATTCACCTTTTAATAGATTGAGTTATAGTACAATCAGTCGTAATTTTTTCCTGTTTCCTTTTTGACACAGGTATCTACCAAAGACCATTAACTGGTCTCTTGTAATGTCATTGTTCACTGTAAGTTTCCTCTACATTGCATTTCCAAGTTTTAGAAAATTTTTACTTCTACTTTCATAGTATCTTGGATGCAATTCTTCAACTTTCTTTAAGCTTCATTCCAGTATTCTATATTACTTGTTAATATCTGACACTCATTCTTGAAATAACCTTTAATGACATTTTTTCTTTAAGAAATGCAGTTCTTACTTGTACATGAATTAAATAGTTTAATTCTCTTTCTTATAAAACTCGATTTGTGTGTTTTGGGCAGATTGCGCCTGCAGCATCTGTATTTGGCTCATCATGGACAGATTGGCAACGTATATTTGCATTTACAAAGCAAAGTTTCCTATCCTCATTTGCTTCTTTCCTCTCATTTTTAGCCATGTTCATATCATTTGAATCTTTGATTGGGTAGAGTACATATTATACTGAAATTTGATTCCATCAGGGAATGTAGGTGTTCTAAACTTATACTAGCTATCGGTTCTACCTTGTACTTGCAGGCTTATTGAACCTGTGGATTATATGATTTGTCTACCAGCACATGGAGCTGTTATTGGTGCTTGGTTTGGGGCTTTTCCAATGCCGCTTGACTGGGAACGTCCATGGCAGGTAATATCTTTATCCTTTTTCTTGTTTCCACTATATTACTGTGCTTTTAGTTCTTTTGCAAGATTAGTTTTCTTTCTTTATTCGCTTCTTGTGGAAACTTTCTCTTTAAATTGTATATCTTCTTCTTCTGTGCTTTCTATCGCACTTATTTGGAAATTGAACTGTTCAATAATCAATATCGATATGTACTTTTCTGTTCTGTCAGAAAACATTTTAATTCACCATAGGTTAGGTGATGATGTAATGTATGCCATTAGCTATTATTGCAAAATTTGGCAGTCTTCTGAGAACCGTCCAAATTGTCCAATCTTGAGAGCCAATAATGTTGGGCTGACAGTGTGTCGAACCAGTTTTCTTTTCTTGACTAGTGTTCTTGGGGTATAAGAGTCGCATAACTCATGATAGCTGATTAATGAAGAATGTGATGCACAAACAATGGGTTGGAATCAATAGATTGGGTGTTATGTGTCTGCATCCT